GCTCTTCCCCAAGCCTGTAGCGTTGTATGGGGTTGTTGTGACCCAAGTGCAGGACCCCCAGCACTTGGCCTTGTTGAACCTCATACAATTGGCCTCCGCCCATTGATCCAGCCTGTCCAGATCCCTCTGTACAGCCTTCCTACCCTCAAGCAGATCAACACTCCCGCCCAACCTGGTGTCATCTGCAAACTTACTGAGGGTGCATTCGATCCCCTCATCCAGATTATTGATATTAAACAGAACTGGCCCCAATACTGAGCCCTGAGGAACACCACTGGCCGCCAACTGGATTTAACTCGTTTCACCACAACTCTTTGGGCCCAGCCATCCAGCCAGTTTTTTTACCCAGAGAAGTGTACGCCCGTCCAGGCCATGGGCAGCCAGTTTCTCCAGGAAAATGCTGTAGGAAATGGTGTCAGAGGCTTTACTAAAGTCTAGGTAGACAACATCCACAGCCTTTCCCTCATCCACTAAGCGGGTCACCTTGTCATAGAAGGAGATCAAGTTAGTCAAGCAGATACGCAGTCCTATACAAGTCATTTAACCTTTCCCTGTCCTAGTTTACCCAGCTGAAAATGGTTCTTTGAAAACCATAATTTCCTCCATGAAGTGCTATTAAGCTTGTGGTAATGAAGAACAAAGTGCTCTGAAGGCCGTGAATGACATCGCTGAGGTAAGTGCAATGCACTACATGAGTCTGTGCGATTCAGCTGTCTCCCTGGATATTTTCCATTTAGAAAACACATAACCCTGAGAGATGAATTTCTTAGTAATCCCCACAAAAAGCTTCTCAGGACGGTCTGGCTCCTAATGGCCATCTGGACCAGCATAGATGACACATAACTGTTCCTGTATCACCTTAATCATCTGATCTCTCCTTTTGATCAGATTTTAGTGTCCTGAAAAAAAATCCCATAAATCTTCAGTTTGTTTGGATAATTTCTGACTGCTTACATATCAACTCAGATAATCTTTAGAGGACTGAAGAAGCTCCCGGCCTCTTCCAGGCTTGCTTTACACTTACCACCTGATCTGTCTTGCTTCTGTAAACCCTCTGCAGAGTGAATTTTGATTTGGGTGACTCTGCGTGGATAGCCGCAAAGAAGACTCCAACATGTCATTTTAGGCTTATCTGCCTTCAGCTCCCTGAAAAATCATGGGAAAAGCAATTGAAACAACGAACGTCAAGCAAACAACCAATCGTGGAAATTTGGCATTTTCAGAACATGAGATTTGTGCTCTTCCGTCATCTACCGTTTTGGAAGTTTGTGGTACAGAAATGACAGACTTAAGAAATAAAAATGGAGCAAAGCAAAGTAAACCAAATGTGTGTCATCCTTTGCATGGCAGCAAAAGTGGCAGAAAAAAACCTTTAAATCATGGAAAATAGTATCAAAGCAAGAAAAACATTCAGCACCTGATTATATGAAACACTAGTTTTGCCCTCACAGACAACCACTGGTTTCAAAGGAGATGGTCAAAGAAATAAACATTATCAACTATAACTGCAAGCACCAGTGCTCAGCATTCTGACCTAGAACTGGAGGCAACTATAAAAGCCAAACTAAAAGGTCAAAAGACCTAGCTGAATTGTCTACTACTTGGAGGTAACCACCTCCAGGGCCTAGTTCTGGGGTGATATAAGATAGCAAGTCAGGGATATTTAAGGGCAACCAGGCAACCATTTCCAAGGAGGTACAGTCAATGTGGGCAAGAGAAGATCTCATGTAGTGCAACCTACCTAAGTTTTGATGGCACATCTGTGAAGAGTCTCAGGATAAACTTTGTAATGATGCCAGGATGATATGTAGTTGGGATGAGGACATAGCGGCCTTGCTTAAGGATCCTCTTCAAGAACACAGTGCGTGTGTTGATGTACGGAGATGTGGCTACTCTCTCCTGCACAAACAGCTTGTGTAGTCGATAGCTTCTGTTATACTCAACCTACAGCCACAGACCAGTACAGGGATTAATGCAAGGATGGATAGACAAGCAGACAGGAAGGCGTAGATCTCATGTAGTGCAACCTACCTAAGTTTTGATGGCACATCTGTGAAGAGTCTCAGGATAAACTTTGTAATGATGCCAGGATGATATGTAGTTGGGATGAGGACATAGCGGCCTTGCTTAAGGATCCTCTTCAAGAACACAGTGCGTGTGTTGATGTACGGAGATGTGGCTACTCTCTCCTGCACAGTCAGCTTGTGTAGTCGATAGCTTCTGTTATCCTCCACCTACAGCCACAGAGCAGTACAGGGATTAATGCAAGGAGGGATAGCAGAGCCAACAGGCAGGATTTTCCCTGCACATCACACAACCTTTCACGCACAGAAAAGAAAATGTTCAATAAATGCAAATGGCTTTTCACCCACTGAAGCTGTGGCAGAGATGGTCCTGATGGGCAACCCAGTGCTCCAAGCGCTAGCCCACAAGGGCTTCCAACCAGTGTTGTTCTGCACTTCACTGCATCGGTATATACATGTACGCCCTTAAGTGGAGGTGAAAGTTTGGGACTGGCAAAGACATGCATCCACTAACAGAGACACGATGCTACTGCAGAGTTTTGAATACTTTCAGAGATGCATGCACACTCTAAGGACTCGACCTGCTGAGCTAAGATGTTTTCATTTTACTCAGTTTGCCCTGGGAGTGCAATTAAATTACTGTTTGGGATCCCTTTGGTTTCTTTTCACATATGCTCATTTCCTACTCACTGCTCCAGCTTTTGAAAACACTCTTTACTCTTTTTTCTACGTGGCAAAAGAAAAACTGCAGACTTTTCAAACTTATTCCCTTGGCTACATTTGCTGATGAAATGGAGGCAGAAGCCTCCAGTGAGAAGGAGAAAAAAACCCTCCATGTTTCAGCATTAATATTTTTTTTGTCTTCAAAGCTTGGGGTAGGAAAAGCACTTAAAATTCTTTTGCAATAGGGAAAAATGACTTATGTTCCTTTAGTTCAAATAGAGTTTGAATTGAACCAAATTCAATTTAGTTCAAAATAGTCTGTCTAATGTCAGCTCTGGTGACTGAGAGCAGTACACACGCAAAGCTCACGCTGAGAAGAGAGTGCCAGACCCCACCATGGTAATCATGCCTCTGTCTGCCAAAGATCTCATTGCCAGGATGAAGCAGGATGGCTGGACAAACTCTGAACCCGGAGGAGTGCAGATGCTGCCTACCTTGAGTATTTCAAAGCCAATTGGGATACTGTCTCCTTTCCCTTCTTTCTTGTATTTGCGGCGATCCTCCTGTTGTAATGAGACCAACACTTTGTCCTCAGTCTTCTTAACATCGAAGACATACTAGTAGAAGAGAAAAGAGGGTAAGCTGTTAGAAATGCCTTAGGATACTGAGGATAAAGCCATCACCAAGGAAGTATGTGGATACAAAGGAGGCAAATGAAAATACATCTCGGGCTGGGAGGAGAGTTCTCCATATAACAGACATTCCCAGCAATTCACAGCTGAAAATTAATGCTGATGATAAGGATCTTGAAACTAAAAGTATCAGAGACGCTGAAACAGGTAATTCACATAAAGGACAGCATGAGACAGTATTACAAAATATCTGTTGAGGCAGCAGCAGAGAACATCTCTGAAAGCAAAAGACAAAAGATTAAGGTTTTTTTAGGTGTATACATAAATCAGCATGTGCACCACACATTCCAATTTAAGCCAAAATTCTCTTGCCAGCACAGAGAGGAATATCATCAGTGGTTCAATCCCCTCTCCCTGCTCCTCCAAGAGCTGCTAAAAAGCAGATCTTCACTGAGCTTTGCTCTGAGGTAGGTACTGAGATTGCGTTGGTTACTGTTGTGGAACAGTCCCCTGTAATGACTTCACATCCCTCTGTGGTTACAGCTCTGCAGAATAAGGCACCATCCCATTTCTCACCCCTGACCCCCACTGTCTTGGGCAGTGTTACATCCCCATGGAGGAAACACCAACCTCTAGCAGAGTTGGCTGAAGCACAGCCGTGTTGGAAAGAAAATCAATACCTTCCCAAGCCTCTGGGCTTCATTAGTTGTTCACGGTATTCCTACAGAACTACTGCTTGCTATTCAGGGATGGCTGTTTTTTGGTATAAATTCAATGCTTCCTTGTACTCTTATTTGTGTGCTATATCAACATAGCGGCAGAAAATGCACAGGACCCTAAAGAGGGGTTGTAAAGAGCCTCTACAGAGAGAATCCAAAAAGCGAGATACAAGTATGCAGCAACACCTAGTAAGGCACATTTTAATTCTTGCCCTGTTGAACCATACGCAGTGTTACCTTGTCAGATAGCCTAGAGTGTCCAGGGCAAATGGAGGTGTGGAAGGGGAACTGTGAGAGTGCAAGAGAGTGCTCTCGGTCTGATGAGAGGTATGCAACTGTGACAATCTTGATGACATTTCAGCTGTCCATGGGTAACAATCGGGAAATCAGCAGGTGACTGTAGGAATATTTACACTTTGCTTAAATTCCCTTATTTTAAAGGGATGGAAATGTCACAATCCCTCTCTGTACAGATAAACTTCACAGGAGGCCTCAGCATCAGGCATTTCACTCAGGGAGAACAGACAGAGATTATGTCTTGACTATGGTAGTATGTGCCACAGTAATTTATAACGGCCCTAAGCTAACATAAATGCATTCCAGCGCTGCTATTAAGAGCCTTTTAATCAACTAACATAGAGATAACACTGGAATAAAAAGAACTTCCATTGCATCAGGCATTGTACTCAACTGTAACCGTGTGTATTTTATTCTCTGTGGCAGCGAAACACTTACAAATGAAACCCAGACAAGCACTTGGAATACATCCAGAATCATAAAGGGGAATATCTGAATAAAATTGCCCCCTGGAAATGAGGCACTGACAGAAGACAGAGCAGTGAAGAACTACTGCTCCATCTCCTCCTATACGGCAGGGTGGGAGTTCGAGATTCACTCTTAGTCTGAACAGCAAAGGCTGCACTTCTCCAATATCCTGCTATGAAAATTGAGGGGTACAGACAGAAACCTCTTATACAAGTGCAGAGAAGCAGACACAAGAACATCTTTAATTAATCTAAATAATGTGGTGAATTACAAAAGAACAGAAAGGTCAATTTTCAAAGTAATAACTAAAGCAGTAAGTGCCCAAATCTCATTGACAGTAATGGAAGTTTTATGCCTGAATTTGCATGCACTGGGATGAAAACGTACAACACTGAGAAGGGTGGGAAAGTGAGAAATGGAGTAAGAATGGATGAACAGATAAACGGAATAGCTTGAAAGTTACCAGGTAGGATGAGCCAAGGAAAATTCTGTATTGCTGATGAGAGGGTAAGCTTGGGGAAGATACTTTCATAATCTTAGATAAGTGCAAAGGGATACTAACTAAATACAGCAGGCCAAATCCTCGGGCTGTTTATGGGTGTCAAATAAATGGAGTTCTGTCATTAGAAAATCAAACTTGCTGCCTTTCTACAACTGGGAAACTGAAAGAAGTCCAGACAGGACTTCACTAATCCTGGTGTGTCTGACTCAACAGCCCCAAACATGATCAGTCCTAAACAAATACCTAAACTCTTCGGAGAGATTTCACAGAAATCACTGAAACATGCAGTGAACCAGCACACTCCCAGAGGACAGACACTGGCAGTGAGATTTCTGTCAGTCGCTGCCAACTCCTAAATAGGGTGGATACTTCAGAAGCCCTAGCTAAAGTGAATACACAAAATACAGGGATTCCCACCTGGGGATTCTGAAGGAAGGTGTCTCTGTTATCAAAGCATCCACCAGAGCGATTTAGCAGGGGCTCTGAATTCTTTGCCCAAGCCCCATACATCATTTTCTTCTCCCAGGTCTTGTGGATACTGAAGTAGGAGGTATTTACAATCCGGCAGATGTCCACATCAGTGAAATTCTTACACCAGTCCTCAAACGTCATCCTGTTCCATGGGACACCAGGATAGCAATGGTTATTTAAAAATAAACAGTGATACTCACGCAAAGAGCCAAAATAACACACACAATCTTCCAGTAATTTAAGAGGAGACATTGCTCAGCTCTCCAGAGGACAAACTGATTCCCTGGAAAGCTCTCCATGTGGAAATACTTGTGAAGTCACAATCACGCTATCTTAGAACTTAATCTAGAGAAGTATTACCTCAGTGGTTTTGGTCAGCTCTGGATTTGTTCTGTTGCAGCACCTAAGCCTAAAGGATAGGTTCTATCTACTAGGCTGGATTTGATAACACATATTTTGCAAAGGCAAAAGAGATTACCTGCAACCAAAACACTATCCACTCCTCATTGTTAAATCTGTCCCTGAGCATGACTCAATCCTCTGTACTCTGGACATAGCTTTTATTTAGCATCATCTCAATGCTATAGCCTGTGCCTGCTAAAGTGACAGACTGGACTGCAGAGCAGTTAAAAACCATTCACCTCCTCTAACAGCTTGGTATCTCTGAACTACCATCATGTCCTGGCTTATTAATGGCCCAGAACCAAACCCTACAGCTGGCTTCTAGTTGCCAATTCTGACAAAGCCAAGCAAACATTAGACTTTTCATATGAGCCCTACCAGCACACTTGATGCAATATCGATGATCTGCTGAAGAAGTTGCTGGATTGCCTGGGTGTATTTAAGCTTTAAGCAGAATCAAAATCACGAGAGTTCTAGACATTCTGTAGAGAACGAACACTTCTCATGCCCATGCTGGAAAACACCAACAACAATCAACGTTCCTTGGCTGCAATTGTATTTACAGATATCTCAGCCATGGCTGACCTAGAAGTCCTACACAGCAGTCAGTAAACAGGATTGACAGTGTGTTCAGTATCTGGCATTCTGTCATGTAAACCAGCACAGGTGGTGTCTTGGATTCTGAGTGAATGTCCTAAATATAGATAATAGATTTTGAGGGTGTTTGAAACTTATATTTACTACGAGTTACTAATTTTGTTGTAATAGTTTTTCATCAATTTTTTTTCTGTTCTTCTCTGTCATCCCTTGAGAATTTAAAAGAAACAGACTTTGTGCCAGGACTGCATAATCTTATCCATTTGGGGAAGTTGTTTTCGAAGCTGTTAAATAGCAGAATTAATGACAATTTCTCAGTGTAGCCAGTATCTCCCTTCACATGACTCCCACTCACCAGAACTCTCCATCATTCTCAAGAGTGAGGCCCAAGCTCTTACGTTCTGAGCTGCTGACTTTCTTCCACTCCTCAGAACTAAAAGGAAAAAAAAAAGAAGAAGAAAAAAGAACAACAAATATGATTAATAACTTAAATTGAATACGCTCACCTGGAAAAAAAAAAGCTGCAAGTAAAATTCTCTCATGGTCCCTTGTTATAAAGGTAACATCAGGGTACTGAAAGGACAAATGATATTCAGGAAGAAAGCGTGGGGCTTCCAGGAGGAGTTTTAAAACATTAATTGACTTGAAAGCTACTAAAAAAGAAAGAGGTGAATGGGAAATCAGCACAACTAGAGCAGAACCTTATTGATTTTCTTTGTCACACCCTCCCTTAGGACATTTAAACAGCTGGATTGGAAGGTCATATCAGATTGACTCTGTTCCCTGAAGGCCCTTCAAGAGAAACCTGGTTTTCCTCCTCAGGAGCTTATTGAACACTTCACTTAGACCAGAGTATTCTCTTTGTCTTTCAATCTCCTTAAATAAAACAGGCTGGAGATTTCCACAGAGAGCCTTTGAGAAGAAACTGGTGCAGCATGAGCCTAGTGTCCAGTTCCCAGAGTAACACTAGACTGCATAGACACTTCATTGCTGGCATTCACACATAACTTCCGTGCTCTGCATTGTCCTCTGGAGGCACCTGCCTCTTTCCACGGACTGCAGGGGAGCACAGGATCCTAAGTGCAAGCCATCTGATGCTTAACTCAAGACAACATGATAGAAGATAGTGTGAGCCCCTTCCCTAATGTGTTACATCAGACAAACAGAGCTGCAGTTGCTCGCTCCCTTTCCAAAAGTGCTGGGAGGATAAAGGTGAAGGTGCTTGGCAGGAGGGAAGGGAGGTTGCTTGCCACAACAGACATTTTCTTAACATACTTGGAAATTCTCAGTTTAATTCTGTTAGGCCAAAAACCATGGGCCAACCTCAGACTCCTCAGTGGTTCCACTGGAATGAGTGGCAGCTGTGCCAAGACAAGGGCCAGTGGGGAACCAAGAGGGCTTAAGTTAAACGAGACACAGTAGTTCTTCTGCACATTCTTTGCATTTCACCTGAACCAAACTCTTTGAAAGTGATAGATTTTTGCTAGCTGAAGTATGTAAGTGAAGAACTTAATATGCTGTTGTTAAGAACATTGAGTTATTAAATGCTAAGAGTGGCTGGTAAGCACAGTGTTGAACTTAACATCCCAGTTAAATGTTCTAAATGTGTAAGTTGCCAGTGATGGAATACATCCCCTCCAGCAATCATTTCTGTCTCTGTAGGGGTGACTGCTAAGCTCATGGCCTACATTAAAATTCATTAGAAAATAATTCAAGAAATCACAAATGTGGCAGTTTTACAGCATTTTTCACCATTCACTTAAATTATCTAAGAATAAAAGACTTATACCATCCCCAGCACCTAGCAATTACAGACGAGAAACTGAATCTCAAACTCAGTGGTGAAGCTGGCAACAAACCTCATATTCTTGACTTACCACCTTAATCGCAGGCTGTTTTTCTACTCATGGTCCAGTGTCCCAGAACAATGATGTATACAGTAAACCAAGGTCCAGGAAGCCATAACCTCCTGGCTCCTCCAGGATGTGTTGATTTGCTCAGAGAATGCTATACTTGGGAAGAGATGGCACGACGGTTCAGCCATCACTAAACATTGCAGACTGATGTTGTGTCTCAACAGTGTTTAACTAATGTCCAGTTGCCCTATCACAGTTTCATTCTTTGACACTGGATTTGCAGCACTTACTTGTCGCTCCAGGCACCGTTCCACTCTCTTTTTCCCCAGGGATTCCTCAGCCTGATCATGAATAGCTTTTCTGCCTTAAAAGAGAATATGAGCCTTTCTCCAAGGCGCAGCTTCCGAATTGCAGTCACTGAGTAGGCATGGCCAATGACAAGACCCATCGCTGTCTCCACTTCACTGGTACCACCAGAGGAAGCCTTCAGCACCACAAATGACAATTAAAAAAAAAACAACAACAAACTCACATCACTGAGGGACCCAACAGCTACGTGTTCAAGCGGCAGGACAGGCAAGGCTTATTTTCTTTCACAGAGCTATACGTTCCCTTCCCAAATGATTCGACTATGCAGGAGAACAGCAGCACTGGGGCTCAAAACTAGTGGCCCACTAGTCTGGTCTTTTGCATGACAGTGCCAGGCATGTCCTAGCAGAAGCCCAGAGCATAGAATACTTCCTGCTACAGCCATTCTGTCTCCTCTTGGCCTCAGAGAGTTAAAGACTGGGCTGATGGACCACCTTTATCAGCCCTTCCAAAATCTTGCCATTTTTACAAAATGGCTCTTCTGGGCATTGATGACTGTGCTCAGACATAGCACTGTCTGGTGGTGTCCTCAACTGGACACTTTGTAGGGCCTAAGGATTTGGCTGGTGAGTCCAATGCCTGTTTCTGTGTCGGGGTAAATTTGATACTGGCAGCAGGTAAAAATAGAGGGCAGAGGCAAGAAAACTTTCTAGCCATTTGTCAAACCTGTCCTGTACCTCACTCGTGACCTGGCAGGCCTCTCTTACGTGGCAACCAGCAGATCTGCAGCCTTTCTTAGGAACTGGGTTTGCTTCTCATAGACTTCACATAAGAAGCCTGGTTTCCAGCAGTGATGAGGCAGTAAATTGTCCTGCTGGATGACCTAGGCCTGATCAGATGCTGATCTAAGAATACATAAAAATTGCCAAGCTCTGAAAAAGACCACAATTTCACTTAATGCATCCAGATCAAAATCTCCTAGGTACACCTAAAACCAGAAAAGCGGTATCATATGAAGATGCTGGAGTTGCTTTGAATTACTGGCCTTTTACAAACCCAGTACAATGCTGCTTCTGAGCAACCCATACCAGGCAGGACAGTGGAAAAAGTAAAGCTGTGACGGTGCTATAACCCTTCTTCTGAGCGAGAAACAATCCAGATGGTAATGCCTCTGGATTTATCACACCCTCGCTGGAGCCAGCATGGGCATCTTTGCACTGAGCCTTATCCAGAGTCTCTCTCATCTATCTTGAGCTATAACCCATCGGGCCTTAAGACACTCGACTCCCTTGGACAGCAAGGAAGGAAGATTTGACTCAGTGCAGATCCTTGCATGTAAACTTGTAATAACCGAATTAAGAGCTCAATGATCAAGTAAGCCTTTGCTCTGGTGGAGAGAGAGGGACTTATCAGAGTTATGAAATGCACATCGTACTTTCTGATATTTTTACCCATTTCAAAATTTCTCTGGTCTAAACAGACAGGTTCCTTCCCCTAAGGCAGGTGTTGCACTGATACAACGGTGTTCAGTTCCCAAAAATAAGAAATTAGGAAAAAAAAAAGGCGGGGGGGGAAAGAGGAATTTGTACCAAATTGGAACTGGCAGATGGTCTGGCAACTGTGAGACTCTCGCCAAGACCTCTTTGCCTTTCTCTGACAACAGCTCCTAAAGAATCAGCTCATGTGTTACAGGAAGACCGGCTGACATTTCCAATGGGTTTGGGCTTTCTCCAATGTAACACTTTCACTTGCATTTTTCACAACTAAAAGCAAACAAGAGTCCTTGACAACATGGGAGTCTGTAACCTCTTCTGCTGCCTTTATTATCCTCCAGGCTTTTCTTACTGCTGGGCTGCCTTTCCCACCTCAATCTGAAGGCATTTATTTATTTATTTAAATGAGACATTTAAACATCTACTGTCTGTTCAAATTTCTAAATGGTGAAGGTCAGGGCTATTTTCTAATTCAAAGAATATCATGACGTGTTTGTAAGTCAGCAATGAAGCCACTTGAGTATTAAATATTCTATACCTAACAAGCCTCACTGTGTGCATAATACATCTATCAAAAAATGATAAATGCAGATGAGTCAAGCCAAACCAATAGGAACAGCCCCTGTGTAATCGATGTTTAGAAGCATCTGCATTTGACAGGCAGAAATATGATGCCAGGAAGAAGTGAAGGCATTACTCTCTAATTAATTGCTTTTTAAAATACAACTCCCTGTACTTAGCCTATCTCCTCACCAGATCCACGTTAAAAAACTGAACTGCCTTGGCATTTGGGAGCAACCTATCATCCCAGAGACAATGTTTACAAGAACAATTCACACCAGGAAGTCGGATCTGCCAGCCCCGTCTGAGCAAATCAGATGCAATTTTTTCTAAATAAAAATTAAGGCCTCGTCAAAAAGGTAAAACAAACACCAAAACCCTAGGATTTGTTTCTGAATTGTTGCCTGACATTGCTGGCAGGGACAGTTCAGGACTCCTGTTCTATCCCAGCTGAGTTCTCAGGTTCAAATTCGTCTCCCAGAAGGTACCACGTGTTCCTCTTTGGTACCACAGAACTGGTGCAGGGCAGTGCATGGCCAGGGCCAGCTAAACAGATAATGTTCTCAGGTTTCTCCAAACACGGCTGATTTTCTGTTATTCTAGACAACTGCACAACTACCATGATACTCGCAGGAATCTCTGAATGAACCAACACTTGTGGGTCCACCAGTTTATACTACAGGTATGAAATAGTTAAGTGCTACAGTAATATGATCATCATTTCATGGACGGGGAAATTAAAGCAAAGCATTTAAGTGATTTAACTAAGTCCACATAAGATTAGCCTTAACTAAGGTCTTAAATTGGAAGCAGTGGGCATGGGAGTAAGATGCTGAAGTGCACCTAGATACCAACCCTGCAACTTCTGAAGAATGATCCTTTTCCTGCAGGCTGCACTTTAAAAATAATTTAAAAGCAAACTTTTAGGAAATATTCAGGTGCCATGGCAGTTTGTTAACCCTCCACGTGCGGTAACAGCTTCAGACAAGGTGAGAATTTCAGTGCTACCCAGTCATGGCCTGACATTGCAGGCTTTGATAGAAGGCAAGTTAAACCTAGTTGTCACTGGTTTCCCTCCTACGGCAAGGGGCTGTGCAAGGCCCTTGTCTGCCCATGGCTTGTGAAGTATATAGCACTCTTTGGGAGCTGCTCCTCATCTGCCTTCTAGCACCTCAAGTGAATGGAGAGAAGTCAAGCTTCCACAGAAGGCAGCCCTGTATCATCTCTCCTCTACTGAATAAGGGAATTTCAGGGTCATGGCCTCCTAACATAGGCACCTGAGTTAGCTGCCTCACATCAGCCAGCGGAGGCAAGTTTTGCTGGTTAATTCTAATGGGTAGTCCTATTAACAAATAGTACTACCTGAATAACCAAGTGAGCTCAGCCCCTCAGCTCAGCGTCAGCGTTACACTGACAAGATGACTACATCATCACAACCAAAGTCAAGAAGTCTCAGTAGCTCAGTGACAGCAGAACTGTTTTCTATAAACAGATTTCCCTAAGAAATAAAGAAATCAAATGCTGCCATCTGGCCTGTAAATTAGGGCATTCTAGGTGGATTAACCTCAGGCCAACATGCAACTGTGACCATTCAGAAAGAATAGCATTTCAGATCCACAGTAAAGTGGCAACACAAACAGCTCTGTGGTTTTGTGATTGTATTTAGTGGCTCGTGGAGTTGTACTTGGCTGGCAGCACTGCCAACTTGCTAGCTTTTTCCATATGAAGCTTTTCCAAAGCATACAGATGAAGGTAATACTCAATATACTTATACTAATAATGGTATTTTTTCCAAATTTTTTTCACTGAAGTTAATTCTTAAAATCCAGCTCTCTATACATACCGTAATGGAACAGCTGATCAACCCGCCTCTTTTATGCACTTTCAGCAAGTCTTCAAACAGCTTCATCTGCTCAGAAATAACCTCACCATATTTGCCCTGTACCAAATCAATAGATTCTGCCACTGCTCCAGTGAAATCCACAATTGCATCTGCAGCGCTGCCTCCATCTAGGGCTTCATAAGATCCCGCCAGCCTGGAGGTAATACAGAACATTCTCAATCACCAAATGGCTGTTAGAAATGCTCTAATTTGGCTTGAATGTGGGTAACATATTTGTGTCTCACCAAGGAAAAACCAAAACAGAACAAACTAGCAGATTGAAGATAAACCTTTGCTGGGTTTCTAGGAAAGGAGTGTAATGATGCTTAAGTCTTTGGGCTGCTGAAGTAGAGTGCATTGCACTCTTTTATGATTCACCTCCGTGCAGATTGAAGGAGGAGTTTTCAATCTTTGTTAGGTTCTCTGCTAGCAGCAAACCTAAAACCTATGGAAAGTATGATAGAGCTGAAAGACAAAACAAACAGATGGATGGAAGGGAGAGCACTGAGGACTAAAAGGACAATGAACTAGCTCATACTTTGCATAAGCTTTCTCCAATAATGCACTCCAGAATTCATTTTTCACATTGGAATGGCAGTAGATCAACTTCCCATCCATCGTTGGCAGCAGATCATCAACAACCACCTCTGTCCATTCTCCAAAGCACCAGAAACGGAAACGGAAAATCCCAGCATATTTCTCTGGGCTTTTAGGGTCCCATTCTTGTTCATTAAAGTCTGGAATTACCTGAGAAACAATGCAAGAGAAAGTTCACCAAATGCACTGTGTTAAGATTCATTCAGAGGGCAGACTGCCCTGGAGCATGCACTACGCTGGTATTCAGCTTCATGAGAGGTTGACCTTAAATAGATGAAGCAGTGAAAAAAAGAGGGTGAATTTGGTCAAATATAGTCTCTCTTCAAAGAATCTATTAGGAAAGTAAAATTCAAATTGATCTGCAGAGAAAGACAAACAGAACCTATTGCACTCTCTGGCTTCGCTACATCTCTTCTTTGGTGCTCAATAGGACTGTGGAGTGGGGAGGTCTCATAACATGAAAAATTAACTTCTAAAGAAAGGGAAGATTTGAATTCAGAAAAATTGACCACTCATCAGAGACACATTAGTCCTAGAGGGAAAAACATTGGCTGATAGGCAGGGAAACAAACAAGGTTTATTACTCTTATTTCACGCACCATGCACACTGATCACCTACCTGCTGCCAGAGGGTCTTCCTCAGAGCCAAGCAGGAGCATGCAGCCACAAACCAGCAGTTCCCCAGTGTGCCTTGGTGTAAGTCATGGGAGCTGATTCCATTCACAAATAGGTGGGGGTCTTCACAGAGGTCCTAACAAAGCAAGCCAGGGATTACTGGAGACTCCACTCCAGAATCATAGAATCATTAAGGTGGGAAAAGACCTCCAAGATCATCAAGTCCAACCATCAACCCAACACCACCATGTCTCCTAAACCATGTCCCAGAGCACCACATCTACATGTTTTTTGAATACCTCCAGGGATGGTGACTCCACCACCTCTCTGATCAGCCTGTTCCAATGCTTGATCACTCTTTCAGTAAAGAATTTTTTCCCAATATCCAATCGAAACCTCCCTGATGCAACTTGAGGCCATTTCCTCTCATCCTATCGCTAGTTACTTGGGAGAAGAGACTAACACCCACCTCACTACAACCTCCTTTCAGGTAACTGAAAATGATCACAGCATCCTTCCAGCTATTCCTCTCCACACTTTTTCTACATCACGTTCCCATTGGAGTGTGGAGTTTCTGCACCAGGAAGTTCAAAAGCCCTCTGGCACTTTTGCCAGTATATTTGAAAGTCAGGGTACACAGGATTATTTAAGTTCTTACAAGTAGATCGTGTTGCCTTACCTAACACCGGGATTTGCCTCTTTTTTTTTTTTTTTTTTTTTTATCAGAGTTCCTAGTTCTGCCCTCAGCTGTGGGTGATCTTTGAGGACTATAATGAATTCAGCATTTTGAAGACTTACTTGGCATTGGGGGAGTTAATGAACTGAAAGTAACTGAAAGGAAAAAGGAGGAAGCATTACAGGGAAAGGCTTTGACCAAAGAAAAAAAAACAAACCATCAAGAAAAGCAGCAGGAAATTATGCTACTGACACTAGAACTCTTAAGCTCCTCTTCCTTCATTGCCACTCCCTTGGCTGACATACTGGAAACCCTCCTCCACCAACAGCTTGAGTTACTGCAATGACCCCTGCCACCCCAACACAGAGAATACACATCTGTGAAATACGCCTCTCATTTTCTGGGTCTCATCTTTCTCATTTAACCGACTCTCATTAGAACCACTCATTCCTCCTCTCCCATTGCTTTCCTGGCTCCATCTCCGTTTACATGCAGATCCTCACCAAAGCATAGTTGGCTTTTCCTGTGATGCCTCCCTGCTCCTCACTAGCTTGGCCCTTGCTGTGTCTTTACAGCCTGCAGACCAAGGCACTAAAAGGAGCACCTCTAAGTATCATTGAACATGGAAAAGCCACAGGGGTATATTTTGCAGCAGTATTGTGTTTGTTACCAAGAAATCCTTGGTAGATAATGTTCTGCTGAACAGATACATTATGTGGCCTCACAGTCCCAGAGAGAATCTCCCAAGCAACACTTAAAAAAACCAGTCTCATAATTTATATGAACATACTGGTTTCAACATACTTGATTGCTCATGAAGCTCTTGTGTGAATCATTGCTTTTCCTGACTGGTTGAGAGGATGGAAGAGCAGGCAGTGGTAAGAAATTCCAGTCTTTCACAGTATAAGAATAACCCTAAATTTCAACACTGTGGGAAGGAAATTACCTTATATCCAGGCATTAGAAATGCAGACTAAATAACTTCCTCTAACCTCAAAATGGCAGGAGACTCCAAATTTACTGCAGTTTTTCCAGTTTGTTATCAGCAGCAGAATAAGGAGCTGTGCTCCTTACCTCATGGATTCTCACTGTCCTTTGGTAATTTTAGATGATGATCCCAAAATACCAAGATTGCAATCCAAGCCTGGCTACAGATCACGGGCATGTCAAAACCTCTCAGTCTTCCCTTTGATGGGACTGTGACAAATCAGTGCCAGCTGAACTTATTTTCAGAGAAAAGAACCAGCTCAGTGCTGAGCTGAAAGCCTGTTTTCCTGGGCTGGTTTAGCAGATGGCAGCCCAGAGTCAGCTCATGGTATAGCAATGCATGGAGCTGCTGCTGTTTTCTTTAAGAAAATTATATTTTTGGTATAAGGTTTTTCTCATTAAATAACAATTGGTAGAAATTTTAAATGCCTCTTGGGAAACAAGTGACCAATCATTACATAATGCTGTTCTTCTGTCAGTATTTCTTACACATGTTTTCACTTAGAGAAATTTCAAAGCTTTTTAACAGACCTTAATGAAATCCTGAATAACAAAATGATGCCTATGAGGAAAACTGACCCTGTACAAGATACTCATCTGCATCACGGCCAGATTCATTCAATCTGCCTGGATGCTCTGATACAGAATGGCAGCAGGAACTTCAGGCTAGTACTTCAGCTGATCTAAACCAACTCAGTTGCCTGTTGCAGGGGTTGACATCAGTCGACTACTTGGCCTTCGTGGTGGTAGCACGCATTCCAAACCCAGCTTGGGTAGACTCAAGTTTTGTATCCCATTTCCATGCATCTCTGGCAGTAATAATTTCTACTTTGTTTTTTCCTTTCAATAGCATAATAAATAAAGGATAAATTGAGCCTTCAGGGTTAAAGTTATCCAAACTTTTCTGTTGCTAGAGGAAGCCAGAACTTTCACTGGTTTTGCAAGAAATTAAGCACTACCGTGTATTACGAATATCTTATTTGGTTTGCTTTGCTAAGAATAACCACCTTAAACTGTCATTTTTTTAATTGAAGTGTGTCTTGCATCTCGCACAGTCCTCAGAGAAAAAACACGAGAGCAGTATGTGTCCACTGCCAAAATTTATGGATGAGATTAGCATTTGCTGACCACTGGGGTCCAAAGCAAACATGGAACAGCAGAACTTAGAAACAGCACCTCCCTGTTTCCACCCTAGTCAGTAAATTCTTCAGGATCCTGCTTGAGAAACTTGAACTTATTAAACTGCCTAGGAGCCCTCAACTTCCGAGGCTAAAGAACAGTGTAAGAAAATGACATTAGCTCTGTTTCTCTTGTCATTAATTACAGCCATTATAACAGCTTCTCTGATGACTGTCACTGTGCGGCTCAGATGAGATGCACAGTAATACTCAGGTGCAAGCTAAAGCCAATTTCAGCTGTCTGCTCTTTTCTGGGCTTTTTGCTTTTCACCACTTATGCAGTATAGCAAATTCTAAGGAATACTTTTGAGATGGAATTAGCTATCTAAACCACAATTTGCCCAATACAGTTAGAAATGTGCTACTTAAATATATTATTCTGCAGTTCTTGTGAGGATCTTTAAGCATTTTTGGTTGCCCCAAGCATGTTAAAAAAAAAAACAAAACCAAAACACTTTTCCAATAATGGTCCAGCAGTGATAATTTAGGATAGTTGAGGACCAAGCCAACTACCGTCAGAGGAATTACAAGGAAGAGAGACTGTAAGATGTGGCCCAGGTGTTTCAGGAGACCTAATGCCTTCTTTCCCTTGCAACTAAGCATCTAAGCACTTGGGTTCTGAGTTCCACTAGAAGTACCTCCTTTGCAAACATAGCGGTTTAACCCTAATCCCTTTTCTCAGGATCAGCCTGTATCATCTGTGCTGTAAGAAAGAGAAATATCTTCACATTTCCAAGAAAAAGTTTAAAGGAGATTACTGGGTTTTATTATACATCATTAACGTAAAATACCCACGCCATTTCTGATACAACACTGCTAATAAAAGCAGTTGTTGTATTATTTATGCCCACAGGGAGCATTCCACCATCCAAGATGCAGAGCTCTTCCCCAGTTCTCCCCTTATGCATGTGCATAATAAAATAAACACCATCTGCAGAACTATAATTAGGCTGTACCGAGTCTGGAAGTGAGGTAAGAGGTTGCAGGGGCTCATAGTTTTGCTGAAAACCCTGATGCTCTTATTTTCATACCAGACTTCCATTTGCATGACAGAAGTCTATTTGTGTCACCTCCTATCCTTGCTGTACTTGTAGGCTTGAAATATCTGACATTTAATTTTACTCAGCCACTGATGCTGTGAGAAATATAGTGGCTCACAACCCTCTTTTTCTGATTTTAATTGGTTCATCTCTTTGTAACAGAGCAAGTAAATGAACTGGTTAATGAGGAGACTGGGAGAACACTGAGCAGCCTGGAAATGTGTGGGATCACAGGAAACAACAGTGGGAGAGACCGTGACAGATTAGTCAGTCCAAACACTTGCCTAGTGTCCAAATTGGCTATCCCTAACCTACTTGTGACTGAAGCTTCTCTAACCTGCATTTAACACAGCCCATGAGGGAAAGTCCACGTGCTTCCTCCACTGGTCAGCAAAGTAGTGCATTGCTGAGCTGCTCTACAAGCCCAAGACTTCGGTGAATGGAGAGAGCAGTCAGTTACCTTTCATTTCTACAGCAACCCCTCATATAATCTACAAACCTCTAGCAAGTCTCTCTTCTCTAGCCTTAATAACTGGTTCTTCATGTTTTGTATCACTGGTGAAGTGTGGTGCCCAAATCCAGACACTATGCTCCAAATGAGGCTTTAGCGGTGCTGAGCAGAGCTCAATGGCTCTTGCTTACTAAAGCTGGGGTGCCATTTTTCTTTTTCACCTGAACTTGACATATTTAACTTGTGTTCAGACTGTGATCCACCCCCTGATCCTATCTGATGGACTTGTTGCCTAGTCATTCTTTCTCCCTAACTGAGCCATGAAGTTGCTTAATACCAAAGCATTGTACTTGGTTGCATTGATGAAGTGATGCTGAATTCCATCCTATTTATTCCATGCCATTTTCCCCAAGACATCAAGATAAGTTTGAATTCTTAGCCCTGTCAACTGTCTTGCAGTCCTATCCCAGTCTGTGTCCTACAGCATTCCTGTACGTGTCTTTCTAGCCCCTCACCCAAGTCGTAATGAAAATACTGAAGAGTACCAGACTAAGGGAGATATCCGTAGGACTCCATCAGTACAACGCCAGCCTGAGAGTGCTCCAAGTCATTTATTTCATCAGTTATACATCCTCATTGCAGAAGTCTGAATTAATCCAAATTTTCATACTTTGGAGAGACATACCAGATACTGCCAATGTCCTATGAAAGTCAAACTATATCAGATCTACTGCTCCTCTCTTGGTCACGAGATCTGTCCCACCGTATGCTGGAAGGAAATCAAGCTGGCACATATTAGCGTAT